AACAAATAAATAAAAGAAGGGAAAGATAGGAAATGAGAAGGAAGGAAAAGGAAGGAAGGAAGGAAGGAAGGAAGGGAAGGAAGGAAGGAAGGAAGGAAGGAAGGAAGGAAGAGGAAGATGGAAATGAGATGGAAGAAGGAAAGAAGGAAGAAAGTAGGAAAGGAGAAAAAAGAAATAAATAAAAGAAGGGAAAGATAGGAAATGAGAAGGAAGGAAAAGGAAGGAAGGAAGGAAGGAAGGAAGGAAGGAAGGAAGGAGAAGGGAAGGGAAAGAAAGGAAAGGAAGAGGAAGGAAGGAAGGAAGGAAGGAAGGAAAAAAAGAAAGAAAAAGAAGGAAGGGAAAGGAGAAGGAAGGAAGAGAGGGTGGGGGAAGAAAGAGAGGAGGGAAGGGACGAATGAAGAGGAAAAAAGAAAGAAAGAAAGAAGTGCAAGAAAGGAAATGAGGAGGAAGGAAGAGAGGAAGGGGAAGAAAGAAAGGAGGGAAGGAAGGAATGAAAGAAAGAGGGAAAGAAGGGCAAAAAAAGGAAATGAGGAAGGAAGAGGGGGGGAGAAAATGAGGAAGGAAGGAAGGAAAGAAAGAAAGAAAAAGAAAAAAAGGAAAAGAAGGGCAAGAAAGAAAGAGGAAGGAAGGAAGGAAGGAAGGAAGAAGAAGAAAGGGAGAGAATGGAAATGAGATGGAAGAGGAAGAAAGAAGGAAGAAAGTAGGAAGGAGAAAAAAGAAAGGAAAGAATGGAAAGGAGAAGGAAGAGGGAGGGAGGAAAAAGGGAAAGGAAAAGGAAGAGGAAGGAAAGAAGGAAGGAAGGAGAAAAAGGAAGGGAAAGAATGGAAAAGAGAAGGAAGAGGAAGGAAGGAAAAAGAAGGGCAAGAAAGGAAAGGAGGAGGGAAAGAAAGGAAACAAACAAATAAATAAAAGAAGGGAAAGATAGGAAATGAGAAGGAAGGAAAAGGAAGGAAGGAAGGAAGGAAGGAAGGAAGGAAGGAAGGAAGGAAAGGGAAATTGAATTGCTAAGTAAATAAAAAGTAATTAAAAGAAATAAAAGTAAAGGAAGGAAGAGAGGGGGGAAGAAAGAGAGAGGGAAGGGAAAAGAGGGGAAGAAAGAAGGAAAGAAAAAAAAGAAAAGGAAGGAAGAAAAGAAAGAAAGAAAGAGGAAAGGAGGGAAATAAAGAAAGAAAGAAATAAAGAAAGAAAGAAATAAAGAAATAAAGAAAGAAGAGAGGAAGAAAAAGGAAAGGGGAAGAAAAGGAAGGAAAGAAAAAAGAGAAGGAAGAAAGAAAGGAAAAGAAGGGCAAGAAAAGAAAGAAAGAGGAAGGAAGAGAGGAAGGGGAAAGGAAGAAAGAAAGAGGAAGGAAGGGGAATAGGTTTGAGAGGAGAGAAAGAAAGAAAGAAAGAAAGAAAGAAAGAAAAAAAGAAAGAAAGAAAGAAAAAGGAAGGGAGAAGGAAGGGGAAAGAAAGAAAAAGTGGGAAGAAAGCAAGAAAGAGAAAGGAAAGGAAAAAGAGAGGAAGAGAAAAGAAGAACAAGAAGGGAAGGTGCACTTGACTTTTAAGACCCCCAGGCCCATTCCGTAGGCACTGTTTTCCAGCCAGATGTCTCCCATCCTATATATTCATTGCTTACGTATTGCATCGCACATACTATGCCGATTGCAGTCCGTTTCTGGATTTGGATCCAGTTTCCTGGGTTGCGGGCCATTATTCCCAAAGGGGTGCCATTCTGCCGACGTGACAAAAAGGGCCTTCCTCGTCAATAGATGGGGTTGGGAAAGTATAGGAATGCGTGAGCAACAAAGCCAGCGGCGCTGAGATGAAGGAGGGAGGCGCCATCAGCAGAGGATGCTGCACAGCGCTTTTGTCCTTAGAGATGATGCCTCTCGCCATCCACTGCTATGGAAGCAGAGCATGAAACCCACGCATTCCTTTTGCAAAAGTGGGAATGGATGCCGCTGATGGGTCCCATACATAGCGAGGAAGACAAGGTGAGGTCCATTGGGGAGTAAGGGCCTCTGGTTAGTGTCCGGGACATGATGCGCTTGAAGGGTTAGGCCTCTTTGGTTTGCATCCCTTGCCTGCCTTTTGCTCTCCTCCTCTGTAGGCTCTCCTTTCTTTCTTTCTTTCTTTTCCTCCCATTGGCACAAGGGAAAGTGAAAGGACCCCCAAAAGGGCAGGGGAAGCTTGACCTTTGCCTCCCCTTGAAGGTTGCAATGGGAGGAAAGGAGAGAAAGGGGGAAACAAAGGGATGAAAGTGGAGGAGCGAGGGAAGGGGAAACAAAGGGAGCGGAGGGATGGAGAGGTGTTTGGTGGCAGGTGGAGGACCGGGTGAGGCAACAAGGGCATCCAAAGTGGGGACAAGAACCTATTATTATTATTATTATTATTATTATTATTATTATTATTATTACGATTATTATCCTTCTCTTGCCCCAAGACTGGGACCCACAATGGCTTTTCTTCCATGGTGCATTTGTCTTTGTCTTCCCCTCCTATACCGGCAATTATAACTTGTTGTTGTTGTTGTTGTTGCTGCTGCTGCTGCTGCTGTTTATATCTTTGTTTTTGCCATAAGATTGGGATGCAAAGTGGCTTTCCTTGCATGGAGCGTTTTATCTTTCTATTTCCCTCTTTCTGTATATAGAGACAATCACAACTTCTCGTTATTATTATTTATATCCCTCTTTTTGCCCCAAGATTGGGACCCAGAATGGCTTTCCTTGCATGGGAGGTCTTATCTTTCCCTTCTCCTTCTGTATAGAGCAACAATGACAACTCATACTTATTAGTAACTACCTTGGGTCCCTGGTGTTGCCCGAGTTATTTGAAAAACTCACTCTTTTAATTGTACAGAATGCATAAGGTTGTGGGTGAACTACAACTCCCATCATGCCAGGTTAACTCCGAGAAACTCCATCAATACTTAAAGTTTGTTATGTTGGGCAAGTTTGCTCTAGATGCATCATTGGTGTAGTTGAGTGTGCTCTCTGGCTGTAGGGTAAACTACAACTTCCACTATGGTGGGTCTGTTCCCTCAAATCCCTCAAGTACGTTGAGTTAGTCATGGGGGTTCTGTGTGCCAAGTTTGGTCCAGGTCCATCATTGGTGGAGGTCACGGTTTCTCTGGTTGTGGGTGAACTACAACTCCCAGAAAGGAAGGTCAGTTCCCCCCAAACCCCTCCAGTAATCAAATTTCAGCATATCAGGTCTGTGTGCCAAGTTTGGTCCAGATCCATTGGTGTTTGGATTCACAGTGCTGTCTGGATGTAGGTGAACTACAACTCCCTCAAATTAAGGTGAATTTCCCCCAAAAGACCTTGCTGGTGATGGGGGCTCTGTCTGCCAAGTTTGGTCCAATTCCATCTTTGATGGAGTTCAGCGGGCTCATTGATTGCAGGTGAACTTCAAATATCAGTACCTACAACTCCACAATGTCCAGGCCAATTCCCCTCAAAACCCACCAGTATTCAAATCTGGACATATTGGGTATGTATGTCAAGTTTTTGTCCAGATCCATCATTGTTTGGGTTCACAGTGTGCTCTGGATGTAGGTGAACTACAACTTCTCTAAATCCCTCCAAAGACCTCCAGTATGTTTTGTTGGTCATGGGGGTTCTATGTGCTAAGTTAGTTCCAGTTCCATCTTTGGTGGAGTTCAGAGTGCTCTTCGATTGCAGGTGAACTATATATCGCAGTACCTACAACTCCTATAAACCATGGCGAATTCTCCCCAAACCTTTCTAGTATGTTCAGTTCCTGATCAATTCTTCTGTATGCTGTGTGTCATAGAAGAGAATAGAAAAGTGTTAAGAGAGAGGCAGTGGTTGGGATCATGCAAATTCCACACCAATGGAGAGAGAAAGAAACACTGGGATGTCTGTGGTGGAGGAAACACATAAAATCTAGGGCGGAATTATCCCCATATGAAAGCCTTCACTTGAGTGGTGGGCACTGTGGTGTTTGTGGAGAACATTGGCAGGGCCCTTGGGCATGTTCATGGCGCTCACTATAACCTGACCTGCAACGTCATTGGAGGGAGGACCATTGGTGTCTCCTGAGTAGTGGGAGCTAGAGCTGTTTGTGGAGGCAGGAGCTTGCTTGTGGAAGTGGACACTCCAGCCACATACATGCACATACATATTTTTAATAGATAGATAGATAGATAGATAGATAGATAGATAGATAGATGATAGATAAATAGATAGATAGATAGATAGATAGATGATAGTGTAAGATAGAGAGATGGTGATGATGATAGATAGATAGATAGATAGATAGATAGATAGATAGATAGATAGATAGATAGATAATTATTCCTCACTGTCAACCCAGGATTGGCATCCAAAAAAGGTTTTCTCTTCCTCCTCCCCAACTCTTTCAAATAACAACAACAACAACAACAACAACAACAACAACTTTCTTCTCAAGATGGGGATCCAAAATGGGTTTATCTTTTTCCTTCCCAACTCCTTCCAATAATAATAATCATCATCATCATCATCATCATTCAAAAATACATCACACAGTCCTAGATGCTTGGGAAGTGTTCGACTTGTGATTTTGTGATACGAAATCCAGCATATAGATCTCATTTGTTGTGACATACTGTGTTTTTGTGCCAGTAAAATACCGGTAATAATAATAATAATAATAATAATAATATCATCCTCATCACTTTCTTTTTAAGATAGAGTTGAAAATAGGGGTGAATCTCGTTTGCTTTCTAGTGCGTCATAGGTATTTCAAGCGGCTTCGCCAAACTACAAATCCCAGGATCCCATAGCTTTGCTAAGGTTTGCCACACTGAATCCCTCTGTGCAAAATCCCAGAGTTGCAACTTATCCCAAAAGGGCTTTGATATATGTGTCTCCCAGTGCAAATGCTGCTCAAAAATCTGCAGCTAGACAGAAGAGGAGGAGGAGGAGGCGTTGAGCCTATGTAAAATGGCCAAAGGGTTTCCTAGCCAAAGTCCTCATGAATGTCCCATTCTCCCCATTGGGCCCCTTTCTCTCTAGTCCATGGCGGAGCTGAAGATGCCCGGCTGCCTGGCCTCCTACGACCAACTGGTGCGGCAGGTGGAGGCCCTGAAGACGGAGAACACGCACCTGCGCCGGGAGCTGGAAGACAACTCCTTGCATCTCTCTAAGTTGGAGAACGAGACCTCCGGAATGAAGGTGAGCCTCTGCACGGCAAAATGATGTGGGGAAGGATATGGAGAATGAAAGATATGGAGGAGGCGCTTTCTTTTCTCCCTCCTTTTCCTCCTACACCCCTACTCTCTTTTCTGCCTTTCTTTCCGTCTTCTGTTTTCTTTCCCTCATACACTTTCCTGTTTTTTTCTTCCTTACTTTCTCTCCCTTTCTTGTAAAATAAATTAAATAAATTTTAAATAATTAAATAACAAGCTTTATTTCTTTATTTTTTTAATTTATTAATAATAAATAATTATTATTACTATTTCTTCATTGCTTTCCACATCATTATGCAATTTAAACTCATATTATTATTATTATTTTATAAATTAATAATTATTAATTAATTAATAATTTCCTTCCTTCCTTCCTTCCTCTTCCTTCCTTTCCATCTAACTTTGTTTCCCCTCATACACTTTCCCCTTCTTCTTTCCTTTCGTTCCTTTCTCTTCCTTTCCTTCTTTCCATCCCCTTTTCCATTCCCTCATTTTCTCCTTCATTTCTTCCTTCCTTTCTCTTCCTCCTTTTCTTTCTTTCCTTTTTTCTCCTTCCATTTCCATTTGCCTTCCCTCATACCTTTCTTCCTTTCTTTCCACCTCCCTTTGCTTTCCCTCATACACTTTCCCTTCCTTCTTTTCTTTGTCTTTCTTTCCTCTTCCTTTCTTTCTTTTCATCTCCTTTGCTTTCTTTCATTTCTTTCTCCTTCCTTCCTTCCTTCCTTCCTTCCTCCTTCCTTTCTCCTTCCTTCCTTCCTCTTCCTCCCCTTCCTTCTTTTTCCTTTCTTTCCATCTCCCTTTGTTTTCCCTCATATACTTTCCCTTCTTCTTTTCTTTCTCTCTTTTCCATCTCCTTTTGCTTTCACTCATTTCTTTCTTTTTCTTCCCTTCCTTCCCTTCCCTTCCTTCCTTCCTTCCTTCCTTCCTTCCTTTCCTTCTCTACCCTTCTTTCTTTCCTTCTTCAACGCCTTCCTTCCTTCTTTCCCTCCTTCTCTACTTCCTTCCTTCTCTACCCTTCTCTTCTTTCCTTCTTCATCTCCTTTCCTCCTTCTTTCCCTCCTTCTTTTTCTTTCATTCCTTTTTCTTCCTTCCTTCCATTTATATTTGCCTTCCCTCATAACTTCCTTCCTCTTCCTTCCTTTCTTTCCATCTTCCTTTGCTTTCCCTCATACATTTTCCCTTCCTTCTTCTTCCTTCCTTCCTTCCTTCCTTCCTTCCTTCCTTCCTTCCTTCCTTCCTTCCTTCCTTCCTTTCCATCTCCCTTTGTTTTCCCTCATATACTTTCCCCTCTTCTTTTCTTTCTCTCCTTTCCATCTCCTTTTGCTTTCACTCATTTCTTTCTGTCTTTCTTTTTCTTCCTGCCTGCCTCCCTTCCCTCCCTCTCTCCCTCCCTCCTTCTTTCCTTCCTTCCTTCCTTCCTTCCTTCCTTCTTCCTTCCTTCCTTCCTTCCTTCCTTTTCTTCCCTTTTTCTTTTCTTTTTCTTCTTTCCATCTCCATTTGCTTTCCCTCATACTTCCTTCCTTCTTCTTTCTGTCTCCCTTTGCTTTCCCTCATACACTTCCTTCTTCCCCTTTTCTTTCTTTCCTTTCTCTTCTTTTTCCACCTCCTTTTGCTTTCTCTCATTTCTTCCTTCCTCCTTCCTTCCTTCCTTCCTTCCCCTTTGCTTTCCCTCATATATGTTCCCCCTTCTTTTCTTCTTCCTTCCTTCCTTTCTTCCCTTCCCTTTTCGTTTTCTCTCTCCCTTCTATTCTTTTCTTCTCTTCAAGCCGCATTCCTTCAGCAGCTAACTCTTCTTGTGCAAATGTGGTATGGCCTGCCCCAATCTCTGATGCCTTGCGAGGGACTGCATCTCCCACTATCTCTGCAGACTTACGGAAGTTTGTGTGGCCTCTTTGAGGGAAACTGATCCAGAAGCGGATTGTTCAGTCGGCCCTGTGCTTTTGCGGGTTTTGATTCTTCACAACTTAGGTTTATCAAATGGAAAAGAGCTGCATCCACTTAGGGAGAGAGCAACATTATCGGTGCCTAAAAGCTTTCTTGAGATTTCCACTTATTGATCGATAAACATCTTCTCTTGGAACACCTTGGTCCTTTAGCAGAGTTGCACTCGGTCTATTGGGAATTGCATTCACTCGACGGGGGCACAATCCAAAGAGAATAGCTGTAGAGCCTTTCAAAGTGAACGGTCATTTCTCCTTTCTGGTGGGCCCCTCGGTTGTTGCCTTCTCTGGATGCCATCATTCCCACTTCACCTCCTTTCCTCTCTTTCTGCATCTTCTCTGATCCCAGGAGGTTCTGAAGCACCTACAAGGCAAGCTGGAGCAGGAGGCCACGACCATGGTGTCTTTGGGCCAAATGGAGGTTCTGGATCAGCTGAAAGGTGAGTGGAAGGCTCATTTATGGAAGGCTCTTTCTTCAAGGGGAAGGCTCTTGTTATTTATTTTCAGTACAGTAGAGTCTCACTTATCCGACATGAACAGGCTAGCAGAACGTGGGATAAACGAAAATTTTGGATAATATGGAGTCTCCTATTGTTACCTGTCCAATACGGTGCTAGACACCTAGAATACTAACAACAGGGACCCAAAGGGTTAAGGCAAGGCAACTCCTTGGGGCTAGAGCGGCCCAGCAGGAAGTGCCCGGATGTGGAAGAGGAGCATGGAAATCACAGAAGGAAAGAGGGAGGATGCTGCCACTTCCGGTCCTGCCTCTTATCCCCCTTTCCTCCTCCTCCTTGTCTTGCCTTTTTCACTTATTGGGAATGGAGAGAAAGTTGGGGTGCACTTCTTTAATTGAAAGGGAAATGCTGGAAGAAAAGGGAGGCGTCGGATAGGATGGAATGTCGGATAAGCGAGACTCTACTGTATTTATATTCTGCCCTTCTCACCCCGAAGGGGACTCAGAGCAAATCACAGAACACATATACGGCAAACATTCATTGTCATAATACACTAACAAGACAGTCAGCTATACATAGATAAATGCTTTCTCATCTCCGGCATCTTGGAGGCTGTGCTCGGTTCCAGCCACAAGGGGTGCTGTCACTCCATCTTGCCTGGCGAAGAGCTTTGTAAACTTCCTCCTTGATCAAATCGCCGCCATTTTTATGATATTTTTTAGGTGCTTTAAATACCTCCCTGCTTTAAACGGTACCTATTTATCTACTCACATTTTGCTTTCGAGCTGCTAGGTTGGCAGAAGCTGAGCTAAAGGCCAGGAGCTCACCCCAATCTGGGCTTTGAACTGTCAACCTTTCGATTGGCAAGATTTACTGCAGCTGGTAGTTAACCTGCTGTACTAAAGCCCGGCTCTCATGTGATGAAGGCTTCCTTTCTGGGATGAAGGCTGTCTTTTTTTGGGTCGAAAGCTCTCTGTTTGGGAAGGAAGTTCTTATTTGTAGAAAACTGTGATGGTGGAAGGCTGTCTTTTGGGCAGAGGCTCTGTTTGGGCAGAAGGCTCTCATTTATGAAAAGCTCTCTTTAAGGGGGAGGTTCTTGCTTTTGGGGCAGAAAGCTCTTATTTGGGGCAGAAGGCAGCAGTTAGTACAGCGGGTTAAACTGGCAGCTGCAGAAACTCTTCCCGACCGGAAGGTTGGCAGTTCAAGCCGCCAGTCAGCAGTTCAAAAACAGTAATGTGAGTAGATCAATAGGTACTGCTTTGGCGGGGAGGTAAAAAGGCACCCAGGAAGACATGCTGGGAATCCATGGACAACAAGCTCTTCAGCATGGAAAATGAAACAACAGCACCTCCCCATGGCTGGTTGAGCACAGCCTCCAAATGTCAGAGATGGAAAAAGATGGGAAGCCTTTACCTGTTTATGTACTGTCTTTCTTTGTTAATTGTATAACGGCATTGAATGTTTGCCGTATACATGTTCTGTAATCCGCCCTGAATCCCCTTGGGGAGATACAGCAGATTATAAATAAAGTTTATTACTGTTATATTGTTATTGTTCTCTGGATGGAAGCCTCCCTTTTGGTATGGAAGGCTCTCATTTGTAGAAAGCTCTCTGATGGTGGAAGGCTCTCTCATTTGGGCAGAAGGCTCTCATTTATGGAAAGATCTTTGTGGGCAGAAGGCTCTCTTTTTGTGCAGAAAGCACTCTCTTTTGGGCAGAAGGCTCTCATTTATGGAAAGCTCAAAGTTTGGGTGGAAGGCACTTGCTTTTGGACATAAGGCTCTCATTTATGGGTGTTGGAGCTCAGCCTGTGATTGTGTTTCAGGATCAGGGTGCTTTGGACGTGGGGAGTGATGTCAATGAGTTTCAAGATGAGTTTCAAGATGGCAATGGTTTGGTCAGCGATATTGATGCAGAGAATGACCAGGCAATCCCTGTCCAAAGTGTAGTTTCCCATGAGAATGTCCCTGAGGGGTGTGGGGATGATGGTGTGCTTTTTGAATTGTTACCAGAGAGTTCCCATGATAGAGAACGTGAAAACAGCTCGGCACCTGGCCCAGCTTCAGAAATTAATGAGCAAACAGATAATGAGCAAATAGACGAGAGGAGATTGGTCAAAACAGGAGAGCTGAACAGTGGCTTCGGCATTCTGCCAGGCTCTGAGAGAAAAAGATAAGAAATTCTCAGTTAAAGCGAAACCAATTTCTGGGCACTAGAGACATAGCTACCCTAAAAGTCCCAAGTATAGAATATGTAGTCAGATGAAGCATAGTTTGGAATCAAGTCAAGATCTCGTCCTTGTTTCATGGACGCTTTGTTTGGAAAATTCAAGTTTTAAGTGCCTTTGTTTCATGGTTTTAATTCTTGGATTCTATGCTTTTATATTCATGCCTTGGATTCATGTTTCCTAATTTCTTGCATTTTATTTGGGAAGTTTTGACTTTGTTTTTATTGACTTTGCTGGACTATTACCCTGGACTACTTTGCTCCTGCTTATCTTCCTACCTAGTTGGATTTACCTATTTCTTTACTGCCTTTTAATTATCTTCAATAAAATGATTGTTTCCCATCCAACGGTGTGGTGTTTAAAGTCAGAGGGCTTTTCCTGTCCTGGAGTGCAATAATGGGATGAATAAATATAACAATAGACTTTATTTGTCGCCACCTTGGTGACACAGCGGGTTAAACCGCTGAGCTGCTGAACTTGCTGACTAAAAGGTTAGCGGTTCAAATCCAGAGAGTGAGGTGAGCTCCCACTTTTAGGCCCAGCTTCTGCCAACCTAACAGTTCAAAAACATGCAAATGTGAGTAGATCAATAGATACCGCTTCTGTGGGAAGGTAATGGTGCCCCATGCGGTCATGCCAGCCACATGACCTTGGAGGTGTCTACGGACAACGTCAGGTCTTTGGCTTAGAAATGGAGATGAGCACCACCTCCCAGAGTCAGACATGACTATTTATATATTTACTGTATTTATATACCACTTTTCTCACCCCTGGGGGACTCAAAGCAGTTTACAAAAAATAATGGCACTATTCAATTCCTTACATACATAAACCAAATCATAAATCAAACAGCATATGACTAAGCACAAAATACAATAGGACAAATTCACTTTAAGATAATAGGACATTTAAACATAAAGTATAAAAATTAAAAACACCTAATTAAAAACATTAGACTTGACAATGTCGGGGAAAACCTTTACCTTGACCTACTTTATTTATATTTCACTTTGTCTCCCCGAAGGGACTCAGAGTGGATTACAGAATACATATATAGCCAACATTCAATGCCATTATAAAATTAACAACAGGGGCAAAGGCTTCCCCCTTTCCATCTCAGACATCTGGAGGCTGTGCTCAACTCCGGCTCTTATTCCATTTTTTAAGCCAAGAAGCCAGCTGTCTGTGGATGCCTTTCTGGTCATGTTGCTGGCATGGCTGCATACACACCTTAATTACCTTCCCACCAAAGCAGTACCTATTGAGCCAGGCATGTAGCCGGGGGGGGGGGGGCTTGAGGGGCTTCAGCCCCCCCGAAATTCTCATGGTGGTCCGCGAGAAGGCCTTACTGGTACATTATTTAAACTGTTATGTTTATTCATATCATGATCTGATCACCATGCTCAATATATCCCATATGCATGGGGCTATTGGGGTAACGATACAAAAGGTTTGCTAGGGTAGACCCTCTTTCACTCAGACTCAGCCCCCCCCGAACCAAACTCAGCCCCCCCCCCCCCCGAAACAAAATCCTGGCTACGGGCCTGCCACCCATCATCATTTTTCTTAATGACATAAATGATGGCACCTTCCTGAAAGGAGTTCGTCCTCCTTGTCTTTGGAGTAGTCATAGATCGCCACAACTTTCTCCATGTAGGATGCTTGCCATAGATGCAGGCGAAAGGTCAGGAGAGAATGCTTCTAGAACATGGTCATATAGCCCGTAAAAACCTACAACAACCCTGTATTTCTGGTTTTTTGGCCGGACATCTTGCAGCACCTTTTTGCTATAGTTTTTCAATGAATATCTCAACCAATTCGATATAATTTGCGCCAGCCATGAAAACGAAGGTTCTGGGGTAGAACAACGACTTCCAAAGTAACGTCCGCTAGATTAAACTGGATATAACACCAGGGACATAATTTCCCCCCTTCTTTTGTTACATAGTGTATGAGCTACACACATTTTCATTTTTTCAAACTGCTAGGTTGGCAGGAGCTAGGGCTAACACCCCAACCCACGGCTTCAAACGGCCAAGCTTTAGGTCAACAGTCAACAGTTCAAGGCTCTCATTTATGGAAGGCTCTCTCTGTGGACTCTCTTTTGGGGTGGAAGGCTCTGTTTTGGAGCAGAAGGCTCTCTCTATGGGCAACGAGCCTTTCCCCAGCGATGGTGCAGAGGATGGCATACATCTGTGGTCTATTGTCAGCACACGTTGACTGCTCGCCCCATGCTTCCCATCTTCCCACAGCTCTCCAGATGGACATCACCAGCCTGTACAACCTGACGTTCCCCCCTCCGTCTGTGCCGGCACCCCCGCCCTCCTGCCCCGAGGACAGTCCAGCCCATTCGGTGTCTCTCCAGAGGAAGGACAGCTTGGGGGACCTCAGCCGGGCCACCCTCCGGCTCCTGGAGGAACTTGACAGGGAGAGGTGAGAGCTGGATCAGGTCTGGGGTTTGTGGGGGACTGAGAAGAGATACCCATTTCTCCAGTCCTCTTCTTCTGCTTCTCCCCTTCACTTGCTCAAGGGGCCTAAACTTCTCTTTCCTGGTCTCTTTTCCATCTATCAACATTTGTTTACTTATCTCCTTTTTCTGCCATTATTTCCCATCACTTCCTTCTAGCCCCCTTCTTTTTTCCTACCATTCTTATCTCTCTCTCTCTCTCTCTCTCTCTCTCTCTAATCCACTCATCTAATCTACCATTCTTCCTTCCTTTTCTTCCTTCCTTTTCTTCCTCCTCTTTTCCACACAACTCTCTCTTTACCCAATCTCTTCCCCTTTGTTCTTTCTTCCCTCTTTCTTTCTTTCTTTCTTTCTTTCTTTCTTTCTTTCTTTCTTTCTTTCTTTCTTCTCTTGCCCCTGCTCCCTCGCTCCTCCCCCTTCTTTCTTTTCTTCCTCCCTCCCTCCTTCTTTCATTTTTCTTCTTTTCTTTCCTGTCTCTTTCTCCCTCTCTTTCTTTCTCAAGTTCTTCTTTTATTCCCTTTTGACCATCCCTCTTTTCTTCATTTTTATCCTTTCTCCCTTTCTCTTTTTCCAAGCATGTCTCTCTCACTCACTCTAATCCAGGTATGGGTAAACCCAGGCCCGGGGGCCAGATGTGGCCACTTGGGCTCTTTCCTCAGGCCCTCCTCTCCCTCACCATCCTATCCTTCTTTCCTTCTCTCTTTCCTTCCTCCTTTCCTCCCTTCCTTACCTCCCTCTTTCTCCCTCCTTCCTTCCCTTCCACCCTTTCGTCTTTCCTTCCTTCTTCGCTTCCTTCCTTTCATCTTTCCCTTCCACCCTTTCGTCCTTCCCTCCCTTCTGTCTTTCCTTCCTCCTTACTTTCCTCACTCTTTCTCCTTCCATCCTTACTTTCTACCTTTTCATCCTTCTTTCCTTCCCTCTTTCCTCCCTCTCTCCCTCTCCCTCTTTCTCCTTCCTTCCCTTTTGTCTTTCCTTCCTTCTTTCTTTCCTTTATCCTTCCCTTCCTTCATTCCATCATTCTTTTCCTCTTTTTCTTCCTTCCTTCTCTTTTTCTTTCCTCCTTCCATTCCTTCCCTTCCACCCTTTCAACCTTCCTTCTTTCCATCTTTCCTCTCTCCTTCCCTCTCTCCCATCTTCTCTTCCATCCTGACTTCCTTCCCTTTTGCTTTTCCTTCCCTCTTTTCTCCCTCCCTCTTTCCCTCTTTTTCCTTTCATCCTTGCTTCCTTTCCTTTTGTCTTTCCTTCTCTCTTTCCTCCCTCCCTCTTTCTCCTTCTGCCCTTTCCTTCCACCCTTCCACCCTTTAATCCTTCCCTCCCTCTTCCCTCCCTCCCTCCCTCTTTCTTCTTCCATCCTTCCCTTTCACCCTTCCATCATTCTTTCCTTCCCTCTTTCCTTCCCTCTCTCCCTCTTTCTCCTTCCTACTTCCCTTCCATCCTTCCTTCCCTCGTTCCTCCCTCCCTCTTTCTCCTCCCTCCTTCCCTTCCATCCTTCCTTCCTTCCCTTTTGTCTTTCCTTCTTTCGCTTCCTCCCTCCCTTTCTCCTTCTATCCTTCCCTTCCTTCCTTCCATCACCAGGCAGCCAGTTCTCCTAGCAGAGAGTGCTAGCATGCAGCCCCTGAGTTAGAAAGTTTGTCCATGCCTTCTCTAATCCCTCCCTCTCTTCCTTTCTTCCTTCCTTCGTTTTTTCCTCTCTCTTGTCTTTTCTTTCAGTTTTTCTCCCCATCTTCTTTCCTCTCACTTTTTTCTGTTTATCTTTCCTGCTATTCCCTTGCAGCAATTCTTTCCTTCCTTCCGTCTCTTCTAATTGTTCTCTTTCTGTTCTCAGGTGTTTCCTGTTGGGTGAAATTGAAAAAGAGGAGAAGGAGAAACTATGGTATTATACTCAACTGCAAAGCCTTTCCAAGAGATTGGATGAGTTGCCGCACGTGGAGACAGTGAGTTGAGGGCAGAACATGCAATTTGTCAGGTCCCCTGGAAGCAAATGTGTGGGTCTCTCTGGGAAAATGGCACAAATACAAGCCTTTCGTCCCAGCTGTGATCCTAGAAGCCTGGAGTTAGAAGAGGGCCCCAAAGGCCATCTAGTCTAACCCCATTCTGCCAGGCAGGAAGACACAAATCAAAGCATTTCTGCATTTCTTCTCCTGGGATCTGACCTTTGTGCCCTACTCAAGGAGTGGTTTTGTCTCCCTTTCTCCCCACCTCCCTTCCTTGTCTAGTTCTCCATGCAAATGGACCTGATCCGCCAGCAACTGGAGTTTGAAGCCCAACACATCCGGACTCTCATGGAGGAGCGTTTTGGGACGACGGACGAAATGGTGCAAAGGGCACAGGTGAGAAAGATCCATCCCTTGTTGGGAGTGCTCAGATGGCACCTTTCTTAATGGCAAAAGGGAGTCAGACTAGATGGTCATCTGTCAGGAGGGATTGGATGGTGCCTTCTTTAATGGCAGAATGGGGCAGACTGGGTGGCCATCTGTCAGGAGGGATTGGATGATGCCTTCCTTAATGGCAGAAGAGAGTTTAACTGGAAGGCCATCTATCAGGAGGGATTGGATGATGCCTTCCTTAATGGTGGAAGAGAGTTGGACTGGACGACCATCTGTCGGGAGGGATTGAATGATGCCTGCCATAATGGTGGAAGAGAGTTGGAATGGATGGCCATCTGTCGGGAGGGATTGGACGGTGCCTTCCATAATAGCAGAACGAGATCAGACTGGAAGGCCCTTGGGGAATCCTTCAACACCATGGTTCCAATCTGTACACTAACCAGATGCCTTGGTTCCTCATCTTCTCTAGATCCGTGTCACTCGATTGGAGCAGATCGACAAGGAGTTGATGGAGGCGCAAGACAAAGTGCAACAGTCCGAGACACCGGTAAGAGCTGCAGGGTTGTGTGGGAGATGCAGCCAATTCCTAGAGGGGCCATTGTGGTTCTGACATGACGGGATTCTTTCTGCGTTTGCACCTTCAATGCCCCTGCGATCCCAATGCGCAGAATCATCATCTCCTTGTGTCTCTTGCTTCTTGGCGGCTGATGCCTCCCAGTCCGATTCAGATGTGCAGGGAGCATAAGGCCGAGGGAGACGCTTTCTGTCTCTGGCAGGAGCATTGTTTCCATCAAAGAGGTGCACTTCATTCCCGGTGCCAGGAAGCATTAGCATCATGTGGCCTGGATTCGAGAAGCGAAGGAGATGCAAAGGGGAAAGGCGAAAAGAAGGAAAGCAGGTGGTTCCCATCCGCAGGGTAGTCCTCCATCTTGTGGAAGGAAGGAAGGGAAGAGAAAGACAAGAGAGGGAGATAGTTAAAGGGAGGGAGGAAGAGCAAGAGAGGGGGGAAAAGGGAGGGGGGAAAACAGAAAGAAAGAGAAAGAGAGGGAACGAGAAGAGAAAGAGGGAGAGAAAAAGGAAGCAGAAAGAAAAATGGAGAGAATGAGAAGGAGGGAAGAAGAAGGGAGGAAGAGAGGGAGGGAGAAAGAGAGGGAATAAAGAGACAGAGGGGAGAGAAGGAAAAACAGAAATGAGAAGAAGAGAGGGAGAAAGAGATTGAGGAAGGGAAGAAGGAAGGAAGGAATAAACAGGTTGAAGAAATAGAGAAAAGCAGAAAAGAAGGAAAAAAAGAGAAAGATAAGGGGAGGGAGGAAGAGAGAGGAAGGAAGGAGACATGAAAGAAAGAAAGAAAGAAAGAAAGAAAGAAAGAAAGAAAGAAAGAAAGAAAGAAAGAGAATGAAAAGGAAGAGAGGGTAAAGAGTGGAAGGGAGGGAGTGAGAAATAAACAGAGAGAAGGAAGGGAGAAAAGAGACAGAAGGGAAGGAAAGAAAAACAGGATGAGAAGAAGGAAGAGAGGGAGAAAGAGTAAGGAAGAGAAGAAGGAAGTAAGGCAGGAATGAACAGGGAGAAGGGAGAAAAGGGGGGAGGGAAGAAGAGAGAAGGATAAAGGGAAGGAGGGAGAGAGGAAGGAAGGAGATGTGAAAGAAGGAAAGAAAGAAAAAAGAGGGAAAAAGAGGAAAGAAATAAGCATGAGAGGAGGGGAGAAATATACAGGGAGAAGGAAGAGAGGGAGAAAGAAAGGGAAAGAGAGATAAGGGGAGGGAGGGAGAGAGAAAGGAAGGAAGGAAGAGAATGAGAAGGAAGAGAGGGAGAAAGAGAGTAAGGAAAGGAAGAAGGAAGGAATGAAAAGAGGAAGAGGGGAGGGGATAAATAAAGAAGGAGAAGGAAGAAAGGGAGAGAAGAAGAGAGAGAGACATAAATGGAGGGAGGGAGAAAGGAAGAAAGGAAGGAGAGGAGAAAGAAAGAAAGAAAGGTTGGAAAGAAGGAAGAGAGAGGAAGGGAAGGCAAAAGGAAGGGAGGGAAAATAAACAGGGAGAAAGGAGGGAAGAAAAGAGAGAGATAGAGGGAGGGAGGAAGAGAGAAAAGAAGGAAGAAGACAGGCGAAAGAAAGAGAGAAACAGTGGGAATGATAAGAAGGAAGAGAGGGAGAGAAAGGAAGGAAAAATAAATAGGGAGAAGAGAGAGAGGTAGGAAGAGAAAAAAGGAGAGAGGAAGAAAGATTGAGGTGAGAGAGAGGAAGAAGGAAGGAAGGAAGAAGGGAAGGACAATGCATGGAAGGAAAGAAGAAAAATAATGGGAAAGTGAACAGAGGAAGAGAAGGAGGATGCAATGAAGAAAGGGAGAAAGAAAGGAAGGGGGAAGGAGGAAGAAAGAAAGAGGTGGCTAGAGGTTTCTTCTGTGCCTGAGCTACAGGCCAAGCGCAGGAGGCCCAGAGGGCTCCGGTCCTTCCACTCAGTCGCTGTGGCGCCATCCAAAAGGGAGGCAGTTGCCATGGAGATGAAAAGTAGGCCAGCGCAGGGACCGAGAAAGAGGGGGGACCAAAGGCAGTCACACACTCTCTCTTGTTCCCAATGTATGGGAAGAAAGGAAGGAAAGAAAGACAGAAAAGAGACAGGGAGAAGGTGGCTGAGGGCCGCCTTGATCAAGGAAGGACCCCAAGGAAACTCTGGGGATGGAAACGCTCCATTTGTCTGTGTTGAAAACATCACACACACACCTCGAGTTTTGGACCCAAAGCCTCAAGGCCTGGCTAGGCCTTCTATTATTGCATTGCATTGAGTCTGCGCCAACACAATGCATCTTTCTCACTCTCCTAGGAACCCAACTCTGGGCAGCAAATGTCCTCACAAACAGGGCAGAGCGGGCGATTCCTGCCAAGCCTTTGGGCCGGCTGCCACCCGGCCAGCTATTCTTCCTTTTCTTTCCTCCTCCTTTATTTCATTCTGTTCCTGTCCTCCTTCCAGCTCAGTGGGAAACGATCGGACGGAGACGCCGCCACTGTGGAGATCCCCACGCATCCCGAAGAAGAAGGGGAGGACCAGCCGGGTGGCAGCAAGGTAGCCTTCCCTTTTGATCTGGTTGCCTGAATCTTTCTCAATGCAATACAGGCCGTTCCTGAGTTACAAACATCCGACTTACAAATGACTCCTAGTTAAAGACGGGGCAGAGACAACAGGAAGTGAGAGGAATTTCTCCTCAGAAGGGGAATCCACTCCTGGAAGAATTATTATCAGGGGGGAAAGGGGCTTCCACTGAAGCTTTCTCTCCAATCCTTGTTTTCACAACAAGCCAAAATTTTCAAAATATCAATTCTTACAGGGATAGAAAGTGAGGTGAAATCTTCTGAACAGGGACACAGAAAACTAAACAAACCCCACAGGGCTGTTAACCCTTCCCTATATGATCCAAAGCTTAAAAACAATGGCTGAAATACCTGTTCCAACTTACACACAAATTCAACTTAATAACAAACTTATAGAACCTCTCTTGTTCATAACTTGGGGGCTGCCTGTATGACGTTTGCTGGAAAATATTGCACTCTCTTCCCTCCCTCCCTTGCTTCTTTCTCCCCTTCCTTCTTTTCTTCCACCCCTCTCTCCCTCTTTCCCTCTCTCCTTCTGTACTTCCTTCCTTCTCTCATTCCTTCCTTTCCTCCTGTCTTCCTTTCCTCCTTGCTTCCCTCTTTGCTTCCCTCCCTCCCTCCTCTCTCCTTCCTTCTCTTTCTCCCTCCCTTTCTTCCTTCTCTCCTTCCTTCTCTCCTTCAGTACTTCTGTCTTTCCATCCTTCTCTCATTTCTTCCTTCCTATCTTCCTTTCCTCCTTCTTCCTTCCTTCTCTCATTCTTTCCCTCTCTTCCTTCTTCCTACCTTCCTTCCTTCACTCCTTCCTTCCTTCCCTCCCTCCCTCCTTCTTTCCTTCCCTCCTTCCATTCCTCCTTTCTTCTCTCCTTCTGTTCTTCCTTCCTTTCATTTCTTCTTTCCTTCCTCCTGTTTTCCTTTCCCCCCTGCTTGCTTCCCTCCTTCCTTCTTTCCTTCCCTTCATCTCTCTTTCCTTCTCTTCCTCCCTCCCACCCTCCTTCCTTTCTGTTCTCCCTGTCCTTCCTTCCCTCCCTCCTTTTCTCATTCCTTCCTAGAGAAGGCTTAGGTCACCTTGCTTTCCTAGTAACCTCACAGAGGGTCACTTCACTTACCAGCAGCCTTTGTGCGGCAAACATATATACATGAATACATGCCTGCTTTGAGGTGTGTAACCTGACGGGATGTTGTTCCTCTTCTCGCCCTCCTCCCAGGTGGAGATGGTCTTCTGGCTCCTCTCCATGCTGGCCACCCGGGACAAGGAAGACATGTCCCGCACCTTGCTGGCCATGTCCAGCTCCCAGGAAAGCTGCCTGGCCATGCGCAAGTCAGGCTGCCTCCCACTCCTGGTCCAGATCCTGCATGATGCCGACCGGGGACCAGGTGCCCCCCAGAGCCCAGGGGCGGCCGGGAAGGACTGCCGCATGCGGGCCAACGCCGCCCTCCACAACATTGTCTTCTCGCAGCCGGACGAGGGCCAGGCCAAGAAGGAGATGCGGGTACTGCACATTCTGGAGCAGATCCGGTCCTATTCGGAAACCTGCTGGGATTGGCTCAAGATGCAAAACAGGGAAGCCGGGAAGAGCCCTGATGGGGCAGCAGGTAGGGAACCACTGGGGACCTGGCAGGGGACCAGGGTCAGAAAGTGGGGCTGGTTGGAGGATAAGTCACTGGACACAGAAGAAGAGGGACCGTTTTAACCATAGTCCGGTAATAATAATAATAATAATAATAATAATAATAATAATAATAGGAAAAAACAACGTGTGGATTGTCGATGTTGCAATCCCAGGGGTGACAGCAGAATCGACGAGAAGCAGCTGGAAAAGCTGACGTAATATGAGGATTTAAAGATCAAACTGCAAAGAGTCTGGCACAAGCCAGTCAAGGTGGTCCCAGTGGTGATTGGCACCCTGGGTGCAGTGCCTAAAGACTTTGGCCTGCACTTAAAAACAATTGGCGCTGACAAAATCACCATCTGTCAGCTGCAAAAGGCCACTCTACTCGGATCTGCATGCATTATTCACCGATACATCACACAGTCCTAGACACTTGGGAAGTGTCCAGCATGTGATCCACTAGTGATCGTGTTTGCTGTGTACAAATCTTGTTGTTCATTAAATAATAATAAAAGTATTAATAAAACTTTATTTGTACCCCGCCACCATCTCCCTGAAGGGACTGGAGGCGGCTCACAAAAGCATTCAAGTGTCTGAACAATATCACAATAAGAATAGCAGTAACAAACAGCATAAAACCAAAAAACCCAATAATTAAAAATCAGTAAAATGCAACAGCAGCAGCAAATATAAGACAAGTTGCAATCAAAACCAGTCTATAAGTGCTAGCTGCAATAATCCTTGGTATAATCAATTAGTCTTCGGTATAATTAATTGCTATACGAGGTCAAAGGCCTATTTGAAGAGCCATGTCTTCAACTTGGTTCGAAACACTTGGAGATTAGGGGCTAGCCTGATCATTCTCGGGAGAGCATTCCTGTTGCACCCCAAAGGCTGGGAACCACCTCTGTACTTAGCACACACTCCAGTCCAAGGTAAAATAGCAAAACAGTTTATTGAAGAATATATACAAAAAGCAGTTCAGCAAAATAGTATTAAAAAACGAAGTCCAAATATCCGGAATAATCTACAGAAGTCATAGTACAGGAGTAGCATAAAAAAAAAAAAACCAAGAATGCAAAAGCAGAATAATTCCAAAATATGAAATTCAGGAACAGTCCTCAAAAACTTGGCATCATGAAACATGAACAAAAGGGAACATGGAACATGGAACTAGAAATCCCTTGACTTGACAGTAGTTCTATATACTCAAATACCAATGTTGCCTGGACTGACGGACCCATCTGCTGAACTACCTAATATTGAGAGAAAATCGATATTAGATTAGAAAGAGCTTCAAGTGCCTTCTCCCTGGGAAACTGATAAGGACTTCTAGGCTAATAGGCATCTTCTCCTTCGTAAACTCTCCGGAGAAGCTCTATGTTGATGGAATGTAAATCTCCTATTTAACTGCTCATTAGTCTGTCCATATGGACTTTCATTTTCATCCTCTGAGCTCAGATCTGTTTCGGACCTTGCTTCCCTAGCGAACTGCCTTTCAGGAATGTGGTTTTCAGACACAGACCACTCATTTTCAGGGCTTAAAATCTCCTGCGGGCTCTCCTGCTGACTTGCAGGCCCAGAATCCCCACTAACAGGCCCAGAATCCTCAGAAATCAGGTGCAGGCACAATCAAAGGCTGAACTACAACAATTCCAAAGCTGGGGGTCCACCACCAAGAAGACTCTTTCTCTCTCCCCAACCAATCACGTTTGGGACCTAGAGGTGGGCCTCCGCGCCAGATCTTAGAGATCTCGCGCTGGTACAGAGAAGAGGAAGGAGAAGAACTTTATTTTTCTACCCCGCCTCCATCTCCCCAAAGGGACTTGGGGCGGCTTACATGGGGCCAAGCCCAGGCAGAATACAATTAAAAGCAAAGCAATAACAATTAAACATCATAAAACGGCATAACAATAATAACAAACAAGAGCAGTAATTGCAGAATAATTTTTTTTGGGGGGGAGGGGGAAGACCACTATGCAAGCTGGTTAAAGGATAAGGTGGTTCAATAAGGTGGATAACAATGTATAATAACATAGGAAATATCATGAAAATAGAGCAAAAATTAATAGGATCAGAATCAATTCAATGTAATATAGGTTATGATACATGTCGTTTGTCATAAGAGTCGTCAGTCGAAAGCACAACAAAACAACCACATCTTTAATTCCTTACGGAATATGGCTAGGGAGGGTGCCAGCCTAATCTCCCTGGGGAGGGAATTCCAGAGATAGGGGGGCCATCACTGAGAATGCCCTCTCTCTCGTCCCCATTAGGGGGCGGGAGTGAGAGAAGAGCATCACCGGAAGATCTTAAGGACCGTGTGGGCTCGTAAGGGAGGAGGCGGTCGCGCAGATAGGCAGGTCCTGAACCGTTTAGGGCTTTATAGGTGATAACCTGCATCTTGAATTGGGACCAGAAACTTATCAGCAGCCAGTGGAGCTGTTTAAACAGGAGGGTAGACCGTTCCCTGTAACTTACTCCAGTTAACAATCTGGCCGCCGACCTTTGCACCAACTGTAGTTTCCGAACCATCTTCAAGGGCAGCCCTACGTAGAGTGCATTACCGTAGAAGGAGATGTGATCTCATAGATAGGTTGCACCTGAACCATATTGGGCTTTATAGGTAATAACCTACACTTTGAATTGAGTCCGGAAACTTATTGGCACCCAGTGGAGCTGTTTTAACAGGGGCATTGTATGCTCCTTATAATTGGCTCCAGTTAATAATCAGTCAGCCGATCTTTGTACTAATTGTTATTTCCGTGCCGTCTTCAAAGGCAGCCCATGTAGAGTGCATTGCAGTAGTCCATTCTAGATGTAGCTAAGGCATGGACCACCGTGGCCAAGTTAGGCTTCTCGAGGTACGGGCGCAGCTGGTGCACAAGTTTTAACTGTGCAAAGGCTCTCCCGGCCACTGCCAACATTCGAGCTTCAAGCATCAGCGCTGAGTCCAGGAGGCCCCCGAAACTGCAGACCTGTGTCCTCAGGGGGAGTATAACCCATCACCATCTGGGTACGATCCTCCAGGAAAGAGTGGAGCCACTCCAGAGCAGTGTCCCATTCTGGAGAGCTGACCCAGAAGGAGACCATGGTCGATGGTATCAGAGGGAAAGTTTGTATGCCTTTCCCTTTTGTTGACATATTCACTTACAAATATTACAACAAACAGAAGTGAGACATTTGCTGGATATAAAGTGGAAGGAAAACGGTTAAGGCTATAGAGGAGCTGGAAATCCACTTTTCAAACCCGTTTGATAGTTTTAGAGGTATAGGTTGAAATATACATTTGTTAAGCAATCGTTGTCTAAGTATGTCTGTGTTGCTAATGCTTTTATTTGTGTGTGTGTGTTTGTGGGAAGGGAAGCAATAGATTCCATAGTTGGGTGCAAATGGAAAAGTTGAAAGAGTCAGAAAAGCAGGAACTGTTGAAAAGTGGAACCCTGAATACGTTCTGGGGAAGCGTCCCTTAGAATTGTATGGAGTTTGTTATTGCTTCTCTCCGAGGCTGAGAGAGCGTGACTTGCCCAAGGGTTGCAACAGTCGAGTGGGGATTTAGACCCAGCTCTCAAATCCCTGAATCTCGGCCTGGATGTCAATCCTTTGAACCTTGCCGTCTTTCCAGGTCCAGTCCCCATTGAGCCCCAAATCTGCCAAGCAACTTGTGCCACAATGAAACTTTCCTTTGACGAAGATTATCGCCACGCCATGAACGAACTGGGTATGTTGGCTCACTTCTTTGCAGATATAATCTGTTGTCTATCTATCTGTCTATCTAGGGGTAATGGCCGATGATGATGGGTGTTGTAGTTTATTCACATCCTTATACACACAGGCCATTCATGATCCACCCTCCTTGCATCCCACGATGCCGCATGTTTCCATCTCCCACCAGTGATTCTCCCTTTGGCTTCCAAACAGGGGGTCTCCAAGCCGTCGCCGAGCTGCTCCAGGTGGACTATGAAATGCATGGTGCGACCCAGGACCCGCTCAACCTGGCGCTCCGGCGCTACACTGGCATGGCACTCACCAACCTCACTTTTGGGGACGTCGTCAACAAGGTAAGAGCACAGAATGGCACAGAGAAAAGATGGGCCCGAGATCACTTCAAGGGATCTAGGGGTCTTAGTAGAGTCCAAGCTGAACGTGAGCCAAGATTGTGGTTTGGCAACGAAAAAGGCCAATGCAATTCCAGGCTGTATCCATAGGAGTCTAGTGTCTAGATGGAGGGAAGTCATACTCCATGTGAAAGGGATTAGGGGTCTTAATAGACTGAGCATGAGCCAAGGCTGTGATTTGACAGCGGAAAAGGCCAATGCCAAGACTACAGATGGCCCGGCTCAGCTTTCACTCCTGATTCCTTGTTCCTGTTTCGCTTCCAGGCTGCCTTGTGCTCCCGCCAAAGGTGCATGCAGGCCATCGTGGCTCAGCTGGCGTCCGACAGCGAGGAGCTGCACCAGGTGGGTCAGTGAGGGTGGAAGGGTCCATGGGCAAAGAGTGTGTCTCTCCCTGAAGGCAACCTCAGTCTGGAAAATACACTCCCCGGTCCTTCCTTACCTGTCAACAGGGACCTTATCCTGTGCCAATAAGTAACACCAATGTGCTTCCCGGCTTCCTCCTTGGCTCAGGTGGTGTCCAGCATCCTGCGAAACCTCTCCTGGAGGGCCGACATCAACAGCAAGAAGGTTCTGCGTGAAGTGGGCAGCGTCACTGCCTTGATGCAATGCGCCTTGCGGGCCGCCAAGGTGAGAAAGAAATGTCCTCTCCTTCCTTCCTTCCTTCCTTCCTTCCTTCCTTCCTTCCTTCCTTCCTTCCTTCCTTCCTTCCTTCCAACATTCTTTCTTTCCTCCCTCCCTCCTTCTCTCTTCCCTCCTCCTCTTCCTTCTCTTCCTTCCCTCCTTTCTTTTCCTTCCTTTCTTCTCTTTCTTTCCTTCTTTTCTTCTCTCTCTTTCTCTTTCCCTTCCTTCTTTCTCTCATCCTTCCCTTCTTTCCTTTTCTTTCTCTTCTTTTTCCTCTCCCTTCTTTTCCTCCCTCCTTTCCTTTATTCCATCCTTCTTTCCTTGTCTCCTTCCTTCCTTCTTCTTCCTCCCCTTCCTCCCTTTCCTTTTTTCTTCCTTCCTTCCTTTTCCTTCTTTCTTCCCTCCCTCCTCCTTTTTTCTCCCTTTCCTTCTCTCCCTCCCTCCTTCCTTCCTTCCTTCCTTCCTTCCTTCCTTCCTTCCTTCCTTCCTTCCTTCCTTCTGAACACGAGGAAGAACTTCCTGACTGTGAGAGCCGTTCAGCAGTGGAACTCTCTGCCCCGGAGTGTGGTGGAGGCTCCTTCTTTGGAAGCTTTTAAACAGAGGCTGGATGGCCATCTGTCAGGTGTGCTTTGAATGCAATATTCCTGCTTCTTGGCAGGGGGTTGGACTGGATGGCCCATGAGGTCTCTTCCAACTATGATTCTATGATTTCTTTCCTTCCTTCCTTCCTTCCTTCCTTCCTTCCTTCCTTCCTTCCTTCCTTCCTTCCTTCCTTCCTTCCTTCCTTCCCTCTCATACTCCCTCTTTTCTTTCTTTTATTTTCTCTCCTTCCTTCCTTGTCTCCATCCCTCCTTCCTTGCCTCCTCCCTTTCTTCTTTCTTTCCTTCCTTCCCTTCTTTCCTTTATTTTCCCCATTTCCTTCTTTGTCTCCCTTCCTTCTTCTTATTTCCTTCCTTCCTTCCTTCCTTCCTTCCTTCCTCCTTCCTCCTTCCTTCCTTCCTTCCTTCCTCCTCCCTCCCTCCCTCCCTCCCTACTCTCTTTTTTCCTTCTTTTCTCTCCCTCCTTCTTCTCTCTTCCTTCTCCTTCCTTCTTTCTTTCCCCTCCCTCTTCTCCCTTTCCTCTTTTTTTCTTTCCTACCTTCTCCCCTCTTTTTCTCTCTATCCCCCCCCCCCGTTTTCTCCCTTTTCCCTCCTCTCTCAGGAGTTGTAGTTTTACAAGGTCTCCTGCCTTGTCTGCCATAAAGTGCCTGTATCTTTCCAAATGACAATGCCCAGGATCCCATTGCATTAAGCATAACAGTTCCAGCAGTGTTAAACTGCATTAATTCACTTTTGAACCTTGAGCCTAAGCCCCCAAATCAGCACTCCTAACCCCTATGGGCTGTTCTTGTTGCGGTGGTTCTTGCTGACGAACTTTTCCCCGTATGGCTTGTCCCTGGCTAGGAATCCACGCTCAAGAGCATCCTCAGCGCTTTGTGGAATCTGTCTGCTCATAGCACCGAGAACAAAGCAGCCATTTGCGGGGTGGAGGGGGCCCTCGGCTTCCTGGTCAGCACCCTCACCTACAAGTGCCAGACCAACTCGCTTGCCATCATCGAGAGTGGAGGAGGCATCCTCCGAAACGTCTCCAGTCTCATCGCCACGCGGGAAGACTACCGGTCAGTTCCTCTCCCTCCTTTCCCTGTTGGTCATCTCCCTTCGCTTTGCCAGGGCATGTGATTCAACCCTGCTGCAATAAGAGTTGATTATTCATGCATTTGATATACGGTCTCGAGGAATTTCTGGGTCCACCAGCTCAACTTTATGCTCAAATTCTGCGGGAAGCTGTCCATTGGCCTAGAGATCCCTACGGAGAAACTATTTTGATTGTTTTCCGATTTGCTATGGTCTCTCTAGAGATGTCTAAGTCCTCCAGTACAATTCTGTTTTCAAAGTTGTCCTGGAGGACTTAGAGATTCCTAGCGATAAACTCCTCTTGAGCGAAGGAGAGTGTACATATGTAATCCACTTCTCCCCTACTGTCTTCCAGGCTCGTCCTGCGGGAGCATAGCTGCCTCCAGACCCTGCTCCAGCACCTGAAGTCCCACAGCCTCACCATTGTCAGCAATGCCTGCGGCACCCTCTGGAACCTCTCAGCTCGCAGCTCCAAAGACCAGGAGCTGCTGTGGGACCTGGGGGCGGTCAGCATGCTCCGCAACCTGGTCCACTCAAAGCATAAGATGATCGCCATGGGCAGTGCAGCCGCCCTCCGCAACCTCCTGGCCAACCGACCCCTCAAGTACAAAGACGCCATGGTTATCTCACCGGGTTCCTGCATGCCCTCGCTGTACATGCGGAAACAGAAGGCGTTGGAAGCCGAGTTGGACGCCAAACACTTGGCCGAGACCTTTGACAGCATGGAGAAGCAGACACTGAAGAGCCAAAGCTCCAAGAAGCCCATGAGGCACATTGACAGCTTGGCGAAGGACTATGCTTCTGATTCGGGGTGCTTCGATGATGATGAGGTGCCCAATGTCTCCAGCAGCGTAGAAACAGGCAACGCGTCGGTCCTCTCCATGTTTCTTAACAATTCCTTCCTCCAAGGCCAGGCATCGCCAAGAGCTGTTGCCCAAAGGAGAGGCCCAGAGCCGGAAAAGGATGAAAGTGGGAAGCCGACAGAAGCCAAGAAGGTCCCACCAGTCCTCTTGCCCCCCGACAACGAAGTTTCCTTGGCGGCTGAGAAACTGGCCAAAAAGATCACCACCACTGTGGCTAAGATGGATAAGCTAGTAGAAGACATCTCCACCCTCCATACTTCCTCTGATGACAGTTTCAGTCTCAGCTCGGAGGACCATTGTCTTGACTGGCAGTATGTTTCTGATGAGGTCCATGAAGCCCGCGCTCAGTCATGCTCCCCGTGCCGGTTGTCTGACGCCGGCGGTTTCGTCAAGCGAGAAGATCTGAGCCGGGCTCACCCCCTTTTACGGCTAAAGACCGCCTACACTAGCTTGTCCAATGATAGCCTCAATAGCGGAAGCACCAGCGATGGCTATTGCACCAAGGAGCACATGAAACCATGTGCAAGAACCACCTTTGTGGACTTCAGGGATGAATTACACCGCTATCAGAAACGGCCTAGCCGGCTCGACTTGAAGAACATCCTGATGAATCGGCCGGAGAAGATGGAACAGCCAGTGAAGAAACTTCCAGAGTCTGGGGAGGTGGCAGAGAAACCGGAACTTCTTGAGAAGTTCAAGAAAGCCACAGTTTCATCTGGCAGAATGGTTGCCGAGAAAGAAAAGGAATGTGAGCAAAAAGAGCCGAGGAACGAGCTCGATCCTGATCCAAAGGTTCACACCATTAAGCTCTCCCCGTCATACCAACACATCCCCTTCATGGAAAATGTGGACAATGGAATCATGGGGCAGTCAGGAGGCAAATCTTATTATTCCATTTTGTCAGAACAGCTCAATAAAATTCCGGAGAAGCTCCCGGTTCAGATGGCAGGACAAGGAGAACCGGAGCAGCTGCAGAAATATTCAGTGGAGGACACCCCAATTTGCTTTTCCCGATGCAGTTCCCTCTCATCCCTTTCCTCAGCTGACAATGTGCTGGATGGGCAAAGCGAGAATGAGATGGACAGTGACTCCTCTTTGGAGATCATTGAAGTGGAACAAGTGGATGAACCGCACAAGGAAGATGAGAAGTCCAAAAGGGAAGTGGAACTTCTCCCTGCTGTCTCACAGCCCATCTCCATCCCCTTCCCCAAGAAAGAGAAGATGTTCCTTCAGGGAACATCACCATCCCGACTTGATGACTTAACCCCTTCCAGCTCCTCTGAGAACTATATCCAGGAAACGCCCTTGGTGATGAGCCGCTGTAGTTCGGTCAGTTCCCTGGGCAGTTTTGAGAGTCCTTCCATTGCCAGTTCGATCCAAAGCGAGCCCTGCAGTGAAATGATTAGCGGCACCATCAGCCCAAGTGAGTTGCCAGACAGTCCTGGGCAAACGATGCCCCCAAGCCGCAGTAAGACGCCTCTCTTTGAACTGAATGGCCAACCAGAGAAGGAGGCCAGCCAGTTCAACATCCAGTGGGAGAACAACGTCAAGAAGTTCATGGAGATCACTGACTTCAAGGAACGTTTTCAGATGCCCCAAGACCTGGACTCCATGGTCTACTTCACTGTGGAGAAACCCAACGAGAACTTTTCCTGTGCCTCCAGCTTGAGCGCTTTGCCCCTCCATGAGCACTACATCCAAAAAGACGTTGAACTGAAACTTATCCCCCCATTCCCAGAAAAGAATGGCTTGAGCTTCATGGCCCATGACAAGAGAGAAGAAGAGAGGGTCATTGAGAGCCAAAGGAAGCCAGAAAGACTCGAATTGACTTCCGACGAGGATATCGAGATCTTGAAGGAATGCATCAATTCAGCCATGCCATCCCGTTTTCGGAAGGTCCATACCTCCCTCGTCTCAGGCCAGATTTTGAACTCACAGTCCAAGAAATCGATGCAACTTCCGGTCTACATGCTGGTCCCTGCCAATTCCCATTTGGGCATCTCCAAGCATAGACGGGCTGCTGTTGCCCAGCACAAAAGCTACATCGGTGCCGAGGAGGATTCCTTCACTGACTCTGCAGAAGGAACCCCAGTCAACTTCTCCAGCGCTGCTTCCCTGAGTGATGAGACACTTCAGTACCCAATGAAGGAGGAAGCAGACTCAAAGCATTGTTCAGGGAAAAGGAAGGAACTGACTGGAGCAGGAAGCAAGATGGAAGCCAGACAGTATGAACGAGGTGGCCCATGCGCTGGAAAACTGACCTCCAGCCACTCAACTCCAACCAAAATGGTTTCCTCTTGCAAGCACAGGACTGGGTCAAACCACACCAGCCCACTTCACACAGGCAGGGCCCAATCTGCCGAGTCCAGGAGAGGACGCATTCCTCTCAAGAACCTGGAACTGACCCTTGTGAAGCACGGTGGTCTGAGGGCTTCTTCAGAGGGAAACCGTTCCAGGAAGGAAGCCTCCCGAGAGGACAAGGGGCATGACGACATGGTCTTCCCTTCCTTCTGTCACACCACGCCGACCGAAGAGGCGGTTTACTGTTTCTACGAGAATGACTCGGATGACCTGACAGAGTTGGGCGTGAAGAATTCACCCAAGAGGAAAGCCAGCACTGCTGGGAAAGCCCAAAAGAAAGAGTGCTGGGTGGCCAAGAGGGAACCGGAGGTAAGTTCTAGGCCGCAGCATCCTCAGGCTAAAACCAAGATGGCGGCCAAGCTTCGCAGCAACCTCATTGTGGACGAGACTCCGCCATGTTATTCCCTCAGCTCTTCGCTCAGTTCCCTCAGTGACCTGGAGGTCTACAGCAATGGAGAGAGAGGGCAACTGTACGGCAACCGGGGTCTCCGCCGACCATTGGCCCTCGCCCGCCGGCATGATTTGAGAGCAGCCTTGACGAAAAGGAGGGACAGTTCTGCCAGTTCCCTCAGTTACAATTCGGAGGATGATCTCCTGCAGAAGTGTATGGGCTTGGCCGTGCCTAAAAAGAGACGGCATTCGGCCAAGAGGCGGAACGCTGAAAAGGAGCGGAAGGGACTCCGGGCCAAGGAGTGGAAGTCGGAGGCCATGCTGGACGACGGAAGAGCATCAGACTTGGACAGCGTGGACTGGAAAGCCATTCAGGAAGGAGCAAACTCCATTGTCACGTGGCTCCACCAAGCGTCCTCTTCCTTCAGGAGAGAGCCGTCTTCAGAATCGGACTCCATCCTCTCCTTCATGTCCAGCCTTTCCACCAGCTCCCCTCTGGAGCTTTCCCAGGACAGGAAAGACAAGAAGAGAGGGAAGAAGTGCTCTGGTGGGGGTTACCTGGAGAAGAAAGAGCGTCCCAGGGCTTTCCAAGATGGGAAGAAGCAGGTGGAAACCAGAATAGCCAGCAACAGGAACGGGCAGCCAGAGAAAAATGCAGGGCAGCAGACACCACTGACCAACTTACCAGTGGTCTTCCGTGGCCGAACAGTGATCTACATGCCCAAAGTGGCCAAGGAATCCCAAGTGCAGAGCCCCAGGTGTACCCCTAAGAAAACAGGGCCTGTAACGAAGACTGAGTCCCCCCTGAAGAATGGAAACCTGAACCAGCAGAGATCCCGGAGTCTCCACAGGCCAGGAAAGATTTCAGAGATTGCAGACCTTTCCTTGCCCAAACGGAGTGCGACACCTCCTGCCCGCATGACCAAAGCGCCTTCTTCGGGATCGTCCAGGACGTCCACACCATCACAGCCCAACCAAAAGAAGCTGACATCACCATCACAACAGCAGCCCAGCAGGCAAGCATCGCCTCGTGGTAGTGTGAAGGCAGATTCGAACTCCAGCTCCCCTGGTGCCAACCCCAAACCGGCCCAGAAATCGCCTGCCCCAAAGCAACATAAAACACAGAAATCCCCTGTCCGCATCCCCTTCATGCAAAAACCTGCAAAGAAGACTATATTGATGAGGAATACCATGCCGGTGTTGGAGGAACAAGTGGGGCGTGGGTGTGTTGCGGGCAGAGATCCCAGACCCAAGAGCAATGTGAAAGGCACCCTTCAGTCCAGCCGGCTCAATTTGGTCCGGGTCTCTTCGGCAAGATCGGTCAGCGGTGAGTCCGACCGCTCAGGCTTCCTGCGGCAGCTGACGTTCATCAAGGAATCCTCCACTCTTCTCATGCGGCACCGCACTGAGCTCTCTTCCTCAGAGCCCAGGTCTTCCTCTCCCTGCTCCTCTCTCTCCCAAGGCGCTTCTCCTCGGAGAGGCAGGCTCGGCCTCCCAACAGTATTTCTCTGTTCATCCAGGTGTGATGACCTCAAGGCGGAGAAGCCTCTTGGTGCAAGCCAACGGCCTGTCATCCCTCGGGGGCCTCTTTCTGGCCAACGAGCCCCTGTTGGGATCAAGCCTCCAAGGCGAACCAGTTCGGAAAGCCCCTCCAGGCTCCCAGTGAAAACAAACAACCTCCCCCCAGAGCCCTTCAAGCGTTATTCTTCATCCCCTCAGATTAACGTCACCAAGCGGACCGCCAGTCCAGCATCCACAGTGCCATGTTGTCCCGAATCGCTGGCTGCGAGGAAGAAGAGCGAGGAGGGCCTCAAACTGCCAGTGGTACCTGCTCCAGGGATTCCAGAGAAACACCCAGGAGATGAACATGTGCAACATCAGCCACAACAACAGCAGCCATCCATGGTGAGAGGGACGTGGAAGAGAATCCGCGATGAAGACATTACCCATATCCTGAAAAGCACCCTCCCATCAACTGCACTGCCGCTGGTCAATGCTTTGCAGGAAGAAGCGGACCAACAGGCCCTGAAAGCTCTCCAGAGGAAGACAAGCGATGCTGTCGTCCAAACAGAAGACTTCCCCACCACCAAGACCAACTCCAGTACCTCCCCGACACTGGAGATCCCGCGGGAGATGCCCAAAATCTCCTCCGAGGGCTATGACGGTTCGGGCAAAGCCACAGCGGTGCCCCTCTCTTTGACCCACGAAGGGCCCATCAGCTCCTTGGGGAACTTTCCACCCAGCAGGCATGGCTCGCCCAGCCGTGCTGCACGGGTGACCCCTTTCAACTACACCCCGAGCCCCATGGCGGAGCCGCCGGTCAGTGACAAACAGCCGGAGAAGGTGGACGTTTGACAGCCTAAACAGTTGCCCTCTGCTAAGTTTCTGGGATGGATGTCACCTTGTTTCCATCCCATGCTCTTATAAAAAAAAACCAAGGAGGAATTGGGATGTCAGGTGTTTACACAAGACTGCTGGCGAACAATATTTATTCCCTTTCTTTCTTTTCTTTCTTAATATATTTTGGAACCGCTCACTGGATCCCCCCCCCCCCCCAAAATATATGTTCACCCACAATATCTTCAGGTGTGCAATGCAACCTGTCTGCATTGTTTTGTCGGCAACGGTGCTACATCGGAAACATTGGAGGGAGGAAGAAGAGGACAACGTCAAGAGGAGCATTTTCCCCCAGACTCAGAGACACAGATGTTTGGATATTGGATCCTTCCAGCCGCAAAACCTTTTGGATCCATGCCTCCCGCACTGAATTTGATGTGATACCAGTACTTTGGATTTCCACAATCATGCCTCTTTCCACACGTGGACGACGTCTGTTTCGTCTTTTTGTACAAAACCACCCAGGCTCCATTTTGAAATGCAACCACATTGTTGGCAAGTGAGATATTGCAGGCTACGACTCCCATTTGGATGAGAATGGCTTGCATTCTTAACTGTGATTCCCGATCTGAAAGACCATCTAGATAAAAAAGACCTCTGCAAGTACTGAGAGTTTCCAAACTTGTTTTGATTGTCGTCCCTCCATAGACAGGAGTTTCCATCCAGTCTCTTCCTTGGAATTTCTTTTCCTGCTTTTGTCTTCCTCCTCCCCGCCTTGATCCGTGTCACATCCAGCCTCACGCAACGTGTCAGGAATTGATTTTGAAATTATTCTGATCACAGTCGGAGCAGGAAAGGGCTTTAGCAATATTACACTTGTTAAGCACTAAGATCAATGCATTCTTGAGGGCTTTCATGGCCGGAATCACTGGGTTGTTGTGAGTTTTCTGGGCTGTATGGCCATGTCCCAGAAGCATTCTCTCCTGATGTTTTATCTGCATCTATGGCAGGCATCCTCAGACATTGTGGGGTATGTTGGAAACAAGGAAAATGGGGTTTACATATCTGTGGAATGTCCAGGGTGGGAGAAAGAACTCTTGTCTGCTTGAGGTAGGTTTGAATGTTGTAATTGGCCACCTACCTCAAACAGACATTTGGAGCATCTACACTGTAGAACTAATGCACTTTGACAACACTGCTATGTGGATTTAGTTGAAAAGTGCTTTTGCAATATATGACCAAACACTAGATGATGTTGGTAAGAAGAAAATCCTAGTTCTTAAAGCTTGCAATAAATGATCGAACACTTACTTACTTAGGCGATCCCTCGTTGTCTGAGTAAGATTGTCCTCCAAGTGTGGTGTCCTGGCGGTGGGTATGTAGGTGACTGTGGAGTCCTATTCTTGACCCACATGTTCTCCCGCAGTGAGGGCATTGGTTTCCAGGTGGAAGGCAGTCCCAGTCGGGGTTGGCTTGACGCGCCTTCCTCTTGGCACGTTTCTCTCTTTCACCCTCCATTCGTGCAAATTCTACAGCACTGCTGGTCACAGCTGACCTCCAGTTGGAGCGCTCAGGGGCCAGGGCTTCCCAGTTCTCAGTGTCTATGCCACAGTTTTTAAAGTTGGCTTTGAGCCCATCTTTAAATCTCTTTTCCTGTCCTAAAACATTCCGTTTTCCGTTCTTAAGTTTGGAGTAGAGCACCTGCTTTGGGAGATCGGGCATCCGGAAAATGTGGCCAGTCCAGGGGAGTTGATGGCACAGGAGCATTGCTTCAATGCTGGTGGTCTTTGCTTCTTCCAGCACGCTGACATTTGTCCGCCTGTCTTCCCAAGAGATTTGCAGGATTTTTCGGAGGCAACGCTGATGCCTAGGAAAAATCCAAACATTAGATGATGCTGGTGAGTAGAGAGGAAAATCCTGATTTTTAAAGCTTCCAATATATTACCAAACACTAGATGGCCCTGGTGAGTAGAGAGGAAGATACTGTTATTTAAACTTGCAAACACTAGATGAGTGGAGAGGGAAATCCTGGTTTTTAATGCTTCCAATATTTCGCCAAACACTAGATGGCGCGGATGAGTAGAGAGAAAAATACTATATTTTAAGCTTCCATACTTACTTAGGTGATCCCTCGTTGGACGAGTAAGATGGTCTTCCTTGATGACTATTTTTGTGGGTTTGTAGGTGGCTGTGGAGCCCTATTCTTGACCCGCATCTTCTCCCACAGTGAAGGCCTTGGTTTCCAGGTGGAAGGCGGTCCCGGTCGGGGTTGGCTTGACGCGCCTTCCTCCTGGCACGTTTCTCTCTTTCACCCTCCACTCGTGCCTCCTCGAATTCTGCAGCACTGCTGGTCACAGCTGACCTCCAGCTAGAGCGGTCAAGGGCCAGGGCTTCCCAGTTCTCAGTGTCGATGCCAGAGTTTTTCAGGTTGGCTTTGAGGCCATCTTTAAATCTCTTTTCTTGTCTTCCAACATTCCGTTTTCCATTCTTGGGTTCGGAGTAGAGCATCTGCTTTTGGATATGGTGATTGGGCATTCGGACAATGTGGCCGGTCCAGCAGAGTTGATTGCAGAGGAGCATCGCTTCAGTGCTGGTGGTCTTTGCTTCTTCCAGCACGCTGACATTTGTCCGCCTGTCTTCCCAAGAGATTTGCAGGATTTTTCGGAGGCAACACTGATGCCTAGGAAAAATCCAAACACTAGATGATGCTGGTGAGTAGAGAGGAAAATCCTGATTTTTAAAGCTTCCAATATATTACCAAACACTAGATGAGTGGAGAGGGAAATCCTGGTTTTTAATGCTTCCAATATTTCGCCAAACACTAGATGGCGCGGATGAGTAGAGAGAAAAATACTATATTTTAAGCTTCCAATATATCACCAACCACTAGGTGGCAATGGTGAGATGGCACTAATCAAGGTGGCCAATTGAAACATTCACACCTAAACTCAGACAAGAGCTCTTTCTCCCACCCTGGACATTCCACAGATATATAAATTTCACTTGCCTAGTTTACAACAGACCTCACAACCTCTGAGGATGCCTGCCATAGATGCAGGTGAAACGTCAGGAGAGGATGCTTCTGGAATATGGACAGACAGCCCAGAAAACTCACAACAACCAAGCACTAAGATCGTTTTGATTTTCTGCAAACACGCCTCTTTCCCACTGATTCCGTGTCCTGGAAACAGTTGCCGTGTTTATTTGGCAGAGGCCATCTTGATTGAAGTATGAGCCAAGTACATATATATATACATTTATATATGTCTATATACAAGTGACTCTCAGTTAACTGGCACCCATGTGGATTAGTAGATGGCAGATTATAATGATGATGCTGATGATTATGTTTATTTATATGCTGCTTTTTCTCTCCACCAGAAGACTCAAAGAGATAAATGTTGTTTCTGGTTGATTGATAGTTACTGTTTGTTTATTTATTTATTATTTACAGTATTTATATTCTGTCCTTCTCACCCTGAAGGGGACTCAGAGCAGATCGCAGAACACATATACGGCAAACATTCAATGCTGTTATGCACTGACAAGACAGACAACTGTACATAGGTAGAGGTATATATAGGCTTTCCCATCTTGGAGGCTTTGTTCAGTTTCAGCCATCGGGGGGGGGGGGGGGGGGGGGGGGGGCTGCTTTCACTCCATTTTCCCCGTCAAAGAGCTTTGTTTGTAAACTTCCCCCTTTATCAAATTGCCAGCATTTTTTTTCTGTAATTTCCTTATGGGTGCCTAAATACCTCCCCATGTTTAAGCGGTACCTATTTATCTACTCACATTGCTGTTTTCAAAACTGCTAGGTAGGCAGAAGCTGGGCTAAGGACCAGGAGCTCACCCTGACCCAGGCTTCGAACTGTCAACTTTTTGATTGGCAAGATTTACTGCAGCTGGCAGTCAACCTGCTGTGCTAAAGCTCGGCCCCGCTGTGCTAAAGCCTTGCCTAACCAATACTGTACCATACCATAAACTCTGCATTGTCTTGATATTAAGATTGAAACACTGGAATTTAAAAGCGAATTAAGACGAGCATAAGATAACACACTTTTACTGTATGATACAAACTGGTTTTATTGCATTATAAAAACATTTTATTCAAATTTTTTATTTAAAGTACTAGCTTGGGGACCCGGCAGTGTCTGGGTTGTTTGAAAAAGTCATTTTGTAATGGTATAAAATGCATAAGATTGTGGGTAAACTACAACTCCCATAATATCAGGTTAACCCCAAAAAGCTCCATCAGTCCTTAAAGTGTGTTATGTTTGGCAAGTTTGCTCTAGATGCATCATCGGTGGGGCCAGGGGCGGCTCAACCCATTACGCAAAGTAAGCATTTGCAGTATAGTTGATTTTGCCCAGGGGCGCTCTTGAGGCGCTCTTGGGGGAAAATAGACATTTGCGAGTTGTAGTTACTGGGATGTATAGTTCACCTACAATCAAAGAGCTTTCTGAACTCCACCAATGGAATTTTGCACACAAATATGGCACACAGAACTCCTACGACGAACAGAATATATATATCAGTGATTGGTTGGGGGGGGGGGGGGGGGGGGAGGCGCCAAAATACTGTTTGCTTACAGTTGAAAATTACCTAGGACCGCCTCTGGGTGGGGCTCAGTGTGCTCTCTGACTGTGGGGTAAACTACAACTCCCACTACGGTGATTCAGTCCTCTCAAAGCCCTCCAGTAGGTTCAGTTGGTCATGGGGTCTCAGTGTACCAAGTTTGGTCCAGGTCCATCATAGATGGAGGTCACAGTTTCTCTGGTTGTGGGTGAACTACAACTACCAGAAAGGAAGGTCAGTTCCCCCCAAACCCCACCAGTAAACCAATTTTGGGTATATCGGGTATGCATGCCAAGTTTGGTCTAGATCAGGGGTCCTCAAACTAAGGCCCAGGGGGCAGATACGGCCCTCCAAAGTCATTTACCCGGCCCTCACTCAGGGTCAACTTAAGTCTAAAACGACTTTAAAGCACACAACAACATCAACCCTATCTCATCAGCCAAAAGCAGGCCCATACTTCCCACTGAATTACTGATAATTTATATTTGTTAAAATTGTTCTTCATTTTAATTATTGTATTGTTTTTAAGTGTTTTTGCACTACAAGTAAAATATGTGCAGTGCACATAGGAATTCATTCATATTTTTTTTCAAATCATAATCTGGCCCTCCAACAGTTTGAGGGTCTGTGACCTGGCCCTCTGTTTAAAAAGGACCCCTGGTCTAGATCTATCATTCTTTGGGTTCATAGTGCACTCTGGATGTACGTGAACTACAACTCCTATAAATACCTCCAAAGACCTCCAGTATCTTTTGTTGGTCATGGGAGTTCCATGTGCCAAGTTAGTTCCAGGTCCATTGTTGGTGGTGTTCAGAGTGCTCTTAGATTGCAGGTGAGCTATACATCCCAGTATCTACAACTCCTATAAATCATTGTGAATTCTCCCCAAACCTCTCTAGTATGTTCAGTTGCTGATCAATTCTTCTGTTTGCTGTGTGCCATAGAAAATAATAGGATAGGCAGTGGGTGGGTTCACGCAAATTCCACACCAATGGAGACAGTCAGAAACACTGGGATGCCTGTGGTGGAGGAAACACATAAAATCTAGGATGAAATGGTCCCCGTATGAAAGCCTTCATTTGGGTGGTGGGCAGTATGGTGCTTGTGGAGGACATTGGCAGACTCGTGTACATGTTCATGGCACTCACTATAACCTGCAATGTCATTGGAGGGAGGGCCTTTGGTGTCTACTGAGGAGTGGGAGCTAGAGCTTTTTGTGGAGGCAGGAGTTTGTCTGTGTTAAGTGGACACCCTGGCCCCATACACATACATATTTTCATTTTTACAATGGACTAGCCGTCCCCTGCCATGCGTTGG